GCACGTGGAGTAAATCGTTTAAAATCGTTGAAACGACAAACACGTATGACACGTGCCATCAGTCTCTATAAATTATATACAATGCGTCCGCCGATAAACTTGAGCGTAATTGTCATTTGCGACTTCCGTCTGAAACAGAATGATGCACCAAGGTTTTTTGTCGATAAGAGGCCAGTATCGATTCATAAAAAGAAACAAAATCAGGTTTAACCTATTCTATATTAGACCATACCGGAAGCCGATCACAATTTCGTTCAACTTTGCCGATGAAGCCACCGGTACTCAGTGTGTTAAGGAAAATTTTTAAAAAAAAGGGATTACTGCAGCAGAACTCTGGGGACCTTCCTTAATTTTTTTTTTCCTACACAAAGGACAAAGCGGTCACAGGAACACAACAAATTCTGTCTCAAGTTTTTCTAACGACCAGAAACGCAAGTTGTTAACATAAAAACTGGACACTGAACGAGAGTCAGTACAGCCAGCGGACACCATGCAAAACAGCAGGCAAAGCTAAAAAAATTACGGACAAGTTTACTACCTGTAATACACACCTTGCTCTGACACAAACGGACTCCAGCTTCAGAACAGAACCCTGCCCCGTCCAGCGGGGGTTGCATGGATCTGGGGTCATACAAACTTCGTGCAAAGGTCGGGCTAAGGAGGGGTGGGGGGACATGCTAAGGATGACAGAAAGGAACAAAAATATGTTTCCTCCTCGGAGGAGACAGAGATTGTTATTCTCTGTGCGATGCTGTGGAATTCAAAATTAATAAGGAAAGGAGTTGGTTTTCTGAAGACACACCCCTTTCCATGCGGCTAATGTATAAAGCGTCATTAATTCCCCAGAATGAATACTGTTAGTGAACGTTTTGCGAAAAGAGTTAATTCATTTACAGTCTTTCATTAACCCAGTGACACATTATTTAGAATGGTAAAAAATATTTGTGTAAAATTTATTCAAAATTTTCAAAATAAATTCCTCAAATTATCACAAAAATTTAAAACAGGTTTACTGTGTCTCTTGCTTTACGAAATTTGATCTCGTGACGTTTAGTTGCAATCAAAGTATCTGACATATTCATAACAGAAAGACGTATCACAGACATCGAACTGTGTACGTAATGGTTAAGAGAATTTTTTCAAATTAAAATTAATATCTCAATAATTTAAAGACATCAATTAAAAGACACAGAGACCCAACATGCTACTCACAAACAAGACAGAAGTATCATAAATATATATCTGTTATAATGAAATATAATTACAAATAATACGCGCCAGGAATTCGTGTTAGAAGGGCAAAATATTTTGTGAGCTTTGACTAAGGGAACAAGCTAAAAGCAAACAGACGTAGCTTTAGGGGATGCTGGGAAGGGCTAGCGACTTCGGAGAACTGATTGGGGTGTCTTTGTTGCAGCGAAAATTCATTCCACATGTACAAAATATGATATTAATTCTTCAGCTATGTTAACATGGAGTTCGTTAACTGAAAGTTCATAATTAAACGAGAAGACTAAAGTTTTAACGAACACTAATGGTCGCATTTTCGTGGGTGATGACGAACGGAAGCTTGGAGTCTGCTGAAGTCAGCAAAATCAGTCCTTCACACATGAAACATGAGTGTGCAAAACGCACTCAACAGAAATGGTAACGAACATGGAGCAGACCTCTTCATAAGAAGGTAACAAACAAACAAACAAACAAACAGTAATTCCTTATAGGCAAGAAATTCACAGCCTTTCATAAAACCTGAAGATTCATTATCGTGATCACAAAAGCCCACCGCCAGTCCCTACACTGAGCCGGATGAATCCAATCCACACTTCAAAACATATTTCCTTAAGATCCATTTTAATATTAGCTTTCCATCTACGTCTAAGTTTTCCGAATGGACGTTTATATTCAGACATTTTTTTAAAAAATTCTGCATACTTTTTCATCTTCCCATGTGCGCTACATGCCCTGCCTATCTCATCCTCGTTGATTTAATCATTATAATATTATTTTGTGAAGATTACAATTTATCAAGTTCTCATTAAGCAAATTTCTCGGGGCTGTCGTGATTTAATCACATATATACATATATACAAATATTTTCCTACTCAGTGTTTTCTCAGACACCCTCCTTTAACGCGAAAGAAAAATACAACTTTTTATCATCTCAGTAGCTGTCCTGACAAATATCTTGCTTAGGACGGACTTTTTGGCTTCATGTACCCGTGTTGCATTGAGCTGTATGGTTTCAGAAATTGTTGAAATGAAGACACGGGTGTGTTCAAAATTAACTCGCGATTTCGATTAATAGATTCTACAAACAGAATAACGGAACACAACTAAAGGAGTTGGCCACAACAACGACTGACTCGATGGTCTCAAATCTCTTTCCAGAAAAGACTGAAAATGTTTATTTATTTTTATTTAGTGTTCTGTCTGACGACAGGTCCATATGAACAGGATCCTTCCATCCTTTTCTCGGACTGGGACCTGTTCATATACGTTCTTGGCAGATGATCCAGAAGTGGGTTGCCATTGCCTTCTTCTGTGTGTGAATGGAGTAATTGCTCGGATGCCACGGAGTAACCGGGGAAGCCCCCGGAGGAAAACTCCGTGGTGCCTAGACCACGGCCTTGCCCAACACAAGTTATAAATCCGCCCTTTTATGTAATGGACACAAACTTTTTTGGGGTGAGGGCAATCAAGAGGATATTTCAGTTCACACACTCATGTTTTTCTACAACTGAGGTGCTCTTATTATTTTGACATTTTCAAGGTGCCTGCAGTCAACTGTTCTTGGGGTGGAAATCTGCAAGACTTGAAGAAGCATCTCACAAATGATGGGTGATAATTTTAAAAGCACGCGGAGTTTATGAGGTTGGGTGGTTTCAACAGAGGTGGGACAGTGTTCGTAGAACCACAAACATTATTCGTCTGCGAGGTGAAATTTGAATGTTCAGAGGACAATAAACGAGACGTGAAGTGATACAACGTTCTGAATCAGCTCTGAGCTCAGGAAACAGAGCGTGGCATTCCGCTGTAACCGGTAAATAAATTAGCAAAGGACGTTTCATGCCGACAAAAATTTCGGTGATTTACAAGCAGTTGGAAAAGGGGGTGGTGTCATTCAGGGAGGAACTAGGAAAGGGTAGAAAAGTTTAAATTTACTGGCTCAATGGTGGTGCAGATATACGCATCAGAAGCTACACTGAGGAACAACAACAACAACACAATACAAACAATCAGACAGCATACAACATGGGCGGCAATGTTATCCAGTCACAGAGGGACTGACATTCAAATAGAATAGTGAGACAGGTGACAGTCAGAGTATGGGCGAGGAGACAACAACACACATTGCATTCAGAACAAATCATCGCGTGGCGGTAATTTCCGTGTAACATTGTTCCAATGTTCGTACTCCGTAAATCACATCTTCAGAGACTTTAAACGACAGGATAGGAAAAAGGGGATAGAATTATTAACATGCCATCTGGAGGAAATCTCTGAATTTGTCCAGGTTTATAGCATTTTGATCTCACCTGCCCCTGCGACTGCAAGCAACACAACCAGCCTCGAAATCCACCAATAAAAAGTAAGTCGTCTGTATTATTTAACCCTTCATAGGGAAAACGTTTTACAAGTTTTAATTTGTGGTCCGGAATATGAGATAAATGTCTTGTAACTCGTTCTTGGTAAAATTATCAGTTCTGAAGAAAACTTTAGAGTAGTTTCGAAGTGGGAAAAATTCAGGGGACTCTCAGAAATTAATTTTATAACGCATATATACTGAATCGATTAATCGAATCTTCGATATTGATAATAAGACGCCATTATATGACACGTAAAGAACACATAGACAAGTCGTTTCGCTAGCTGTATTGTCAAGATAAGATGTAAGTTCATCTGTTAGGATTAGAATTTCTAATTATGTTAGAAATGTATTACTTCGAGCATCATCAAAATGAAACAACGCTGACGATGACGTGGAAACAGAAATGAAATGACATAAAACTCATTCGCGATATAATGACAGTCTCTGTTTTCATGAATAATGCGTAGTGAACCAGTTTACGAGCCTCAGATATACGTCTACATTCTGCATATCAAATATTCAGCTATTAAATTTAAGATATATGCCTTATAAACTCATTTTCTGATCGTTCTTTGTAACTTACTCGGCCGTAAAAATGGGGCCAGGTAATTTTTGATTAGTATTAGAGAATCTATAAAGCAAAATTGTTATTTTGGCGTTTAGAAAAGAGATGCTATTTTGACGGGCGACAGCCTATGAAGGGTTCATCGTCTTCCTGGGTGAGTGGTAAGACAACAGATCGGCTGAGAGAACCAACATTGGAATACAAGAGTAAGAGTCCACAAAACACAGACACCAAGCGGTGTACTATATACATTAACACAGAGTCCGATAAAAATGGCTGTTTGACGTAGGGACCGATGACGTCACCAGACTCACCATTTTATAATCGTCTATTTTGCTGATTGACCGTAGATAGATGTTCACACTGACTAATGTTGCTTCTCCCGCTGACGGTGATGATGAAAAATAACAAACAAAGAATTACACATTAATTTTATATTTAATTAAATATCAAGAGAAGTATTTTTTTTTCCATCTGGGACTGCGTCAATCAGCAACACCGCGCATGCGCGCGGCAGGACCAACGCTAATGCTACAGTACAAAGCAGGAAGTACCTCTGTCAATGCAGACGTCGTCCTCCTCTTGAGCTGGGCTGCTGGCTGAGATTGGATGACTTTACGTACCGTAAACACAGAAACCAGACCAATTTAACCCGGGGGTCCGCAAAAAAGGACACATTTAGGGGCATCACGTTCCTGCCGCCTTTAACCTCGATACCACGCACAGCAAACTGAACAACTCTCTGACAGCAGAACCCGAATTTCAACATCGATTATATCAAAAATCTCGCCACTGGACAGTCCACCTGTATCAACCCTCTAAAAGATATTTTTTCATGTTGTCCTCCCAAACGCCTCCGCCAATTCGAGTTTCCTCTTTCCATATGAATTCCTCGTCAATTTCTATATTGATCTGATACCCACAATAAACGTCCCACGTCTCGTTACGTCACAGATTTCACCGTCCAAACACGTGGCCTTCAGGTCTACAAATCTTTACATAAAGCCCACACAAATCGTCCGCTTGCTTTATCTAACTTAGACTCGAAAATTTCTATCGACTGTAAGAAGGATATTTGATTCCAAAAATTTGCAAAGGAGAGCACAAGATTTAACGAGGCTATGACGAGTTTCGTAAGCGGAGTTTTATCAATGGTAAAGGCGGCTGGAGCTTTAATATAAGCGCTCATTTTGCCATTTCTTAATTATAAAATGCCCGTGGGGTTTACGTTTACGTTTAAAAGCTCCTTAATCCCTTATGGGGCCTAGGATGAGCATTACGCAGGACCCCCGGTATATTTGGACCAGTTCCTGGCTCTCCACATCGCCGATGTGTCCCTTCAGTCTGATGTTTCTTGCGGAGGAACCAAACAGAAAACGGATGGGCAGGATATCTCGAAGAAAACGTCTAAAGGAATCTAGTCCAAAATGCAAAATCAAATTTTCTTTCCACTAACAAATAGATCAAAAAATATGGAGCAAACTGACGTAACGATTAGAATTTTACATGAAGCAACGCA